CAGAGAGGGCCAGTCATCTGCAGTGGGGTGGGGGGGCAGGAGGGTCAGGATTCTCCACTGGGGGCGGGGTAGGGGGTGGCAGGCCATCCTAGCAATGCCACTGAACATTCTGTGGGCTGACCCCATGCTGGTCAAGTACTCTTCTGGCTAGAGTTTGGCTTCCCTCGTAGGGTGACTACAAGAATAGATGCCCTGCTGGTGCCTATTTTGAGTTAGTGGGAGGCTGTCTCTGTGACCAGATGGTCCTGGCACAGACAACAGGGAGTTCCCTGGGTCCTCCAAGAAGAGGGACAGACCCAGCCGGACTTCTATTTGATGACACCTCTACCATGGCCAATTTCTCTTTCACTGGTGGTTTCTATGGGGTATAGACAGGAGGGCAGAACACAGGGCCAGGGAAATTTAGCAAGTACAGGGTGGAGTTTGGGCACCCAGTGATGGGACCCTGGAATGTAAATAAGAGAGAAGCAAATTTAAAAAACTGGCAAGGGCAAGGCAAGCCCAGGCTTTCAAAAGGGATTCAGATGTCAGCCCTGGTATGTAAGGTGAGGGTCAGAGGGATGACAGGCGTTAACAGCCAAGACAATGTTTAATATAGCTGAGAAATGTCCTTAATAATGCACCTGCCAGTGCTAGAATCATCAGGGATGCTTTAAAAAATACTGATGGGGAAGAGGCAGACCTAGAGACCTTGGTTTCATTGATCTGGGGTGTGGCCTGGACACTGGTATCTTTTAAATTAAATAGCCCCAAAGAGTTCTAATGTAATTTGCTGCCAAGGGCTGAAAGCCACTGGCCGACAGTGGTTATGAATAGATTTTTGGAGGAGCAGGAGGCAGAAAAGGAATCTAGGAAGCTTTTTTTCCATTGTCCATGTCTGCCCCCTCTATCAACATCTTAGAGAAAGGGCTGTGCCTGTGGATTACAAAGCCTGATGCTGAGATCCCCACCTGGCCATGCAGTACTAATGGCGAGGTGGGGCTCAAGAGCCTGAATTAACATTCTATATCATGGACTATTAGACATACACAAAAGAAGAAATATAGCATAAGTAAGTTAAGTAAAATAATAATAAAAGACCCCATGACCCAACTGAAATCCTAGACCTTTATTAACCCAGTTGGTGTTACTGGTTCTCCCTTCTCCCCTCTTTCTGTCCCCTCTCCCCACCCCCCATAGGAGATAACCTGTTTCTTCAGTGGAGTCTGCAGTTATTAACCAACAGGTGGTCCTCGCACCTCCAGGAAACCCAGGTTTGGGGCCTCAGGGAGGGCGGGGTCTGAGGGTTGGGAGGGTGTGGGGTGCAGGGAGGAGGATCAAGTGACCGCTGTGAGAGTGAGATGTACAGCCAGGGGAGCCAGGCAGAGCCTGCCACAGCCTCTGACAGATGAAGGCAGCAAAGCGTTTGTTAAAGGAGCACCAGAGAAATCCTGTTAGACCCAGTACAATGGAGACCCAGATGCTCTCGGGACAAGCCAGGTCTTCAGCGGTTTTGTTTTCACAGCCCTGGCTGCTGTTGACAAATTGACAAGCTCCCAACAGCTTAGGCGGTGCAGAGTTCAAGGCCCTGCTGATTTGTCCTCAGTCCTGCGAGAACAAAAAGATGCAACTTGATCTCTCTTTCTCTCTGGTCTACTCACTAGGGTGAGCTTTTCCTTGGGATTATTATTCCATTATAAACCCAGATGCTTAAAGTGAAGCAACTGCTACCTTTCTTAGAAGGTACAAAGTAGGTCAGCGGCGATCTATCAGGGTGCTCAGCCTCTGCGTGATAGCCATAGGCATTGTGAATAATTAAATCCACCTGTCCCTGGGAGCAGCATTGCAAAAGGAGAGCATTTTCTCTCCCCAGGAGATGGTCAGAAACTAGAGGAAAGAGGAAGCCCAAATAGCCAGCAGGAGAAGCACCAACGAGGAGGGGAAATCCAGGAGTGGAAGGGAGGGGATACTGAGGCAGGAGGCCAGCTCTTCGGAGGCTGGGATGCCTGAGGCAGGGCTCTGGGAAGGGTCTACTGAAGGGGTCCAGGGAGGACTGAGTCATGGCTGTTATGAAACAGAGCTCAGTATGAGTGGGAGCACAAGAACGAGGTGTGATCTCGCTTAGGGGATGGGTATAACCAAAGGGTCTGTTTAGGTGACACCGGCAGCCAGGGTGACTTGGGGCCTATGGGCCCTTAAATTCCCCACAACTAGGGCCTGACGTGGATGAGGGTGCCTAAGGAACTGGGAGAGCTGGGTCTTTAATCACACAGGGGCTTTTATGTGAATTCCAGGGGCAGCTGTTCCCACAGATTAGAAGCCTGGAAAAGATCAAGAGTTACCCTGCACCTTGCACAGAGACACATGTGCAGAGGTCTTCATTGGCTAAAGGCTCTCAGGGGAAAAGCTGTCACTCCTGACTAATGAGGCCTCAGCAGATGACAGTGTGGAAAATATGACAGAGAAGGCCAGTCTGCCCTCCGAGAGGCTAGTAGACAGAATAGTGACAGTGTGGCATCTGGCCATGGACAGACTAAAGATCTCCCAAATGGGGATCATAACCAGAAAGTTACAATTTTTTGGTGCAAAGCCTAAGCATACTACAGAATGGACCCCAGCATGGACCGTGTGGTTATGAGCATTATGTTGTTAAGTAAATACTGTGGCCTCTCTTATATAACTGATAAAACTCTATACATTGTTACAACCAGTTTGGAAAATGATTTGGCAGTATCTCCTAAGGCTGAGCATACGTTACCCTATGACCCAGCAATTCCACTCCTAGGGATATGCCCAACCGAAATGTGTGCATATATGTTTGCCAAAAGACATGTATGACAATGTTCATAGCAACAGTGTTTGTAATAGCTCCACACTACAGCCATCCAAATGCCCGTGGGCAGCAGAATGGGTAAGTGCTATGTGGTATATTGTACAGTGGAATACTACAGAGCAATAAAAGTGAATGACATGTAACAACATGGATGAATTTCACAAGAATAATGTTGAGCACAGGAAGCCAACACAAGGGTACATACTGCTTGATGTCATTTACATAAACAGCCAAAACCAATCTATGGCAAATATATTAAAAACCATTGACTTCTACACTTTAAATAGGTGAATTGGTGAATCGTATGGTGTGTGAATTATATCTCAATTAAGCTGTTATTTTTAAAAGACTGTGGTATTACAAGTCAGGACAGGGGTTATCGTTGGTGAGGAGCAGTGACTGGGAGGGGGCCCAAGGAAGGACTTTCAGTGCTGGCAATGTTTGGCTTCTTGACTTGGGTGCTGGTCACAAGAGTGTGCTCAGCTGTGACAATTCTGTGTACTTATAATGTGTGCGCTTCTCAGTATGTATGCTACAGACTTCCATAAAAATAACAACAATAACCACCAACAACACAGGCCTGGCTTGGCCTGGCTCAATCGCATGGCGATGGTGAACTGGAGATGCTCACTCCCTTCAGAAAGTCCCAACTGCCACTGGGGTACCTGCAAGAGGACCCTGCAAGTTTGTGAGGGTGGGGCCCCCTATTTCCTCAGTGGAGCACCACCTGCAGGGCCCAGGAAAATTCTCAGAGGAGAGCGTAGGGAGGGTCTGCCTACCTCCTCTCCTCCCTGGGCATGGCTAGAGTGGGCAGGTGTGGCAGCAGATGCCAGAAAGTGAGACCTGGGAGCACCCTTGCGTCAGCATAGCCTTCCAGGGGCCTGGTCTGCTGCTCCTGGATTGGGGAGGGGGCATATCCTCATGGAGACCTTAAGGGGCCATCTGCCTGAGGCGGGCCAGCCCCTGCCTGTCCCGGCAGCCCCAGCCAGGCTCTTCAGGGAGGGTTTGGGGAGCCTCATCAGTGGCTGCCTAGTGGCAGGAGCACTTGAGCCCCAGGAAGATGGATCTCATGGGCAGAACCCTAAGCATGAGAGAGGGGCTCCCTGAGAACTACAGGCAGAAGAGGGGTGGGATTTTAGGGTGCAGGGTCACTGGGAATTTGAGTTTATGGGCGAAAATAGGACTGCAGCCACGGGGCCAGGAGCTGGAGGGTCCTTTTCACGCAGGCCAAGTCCTTTGTAAATCAGACGGGAGAAGGAGCTGCGGCCAGGCCCAGGGGCTTGCGGCCCTTGAGATTCTGATTGGATTCCGCATTTAAAAAATCTTCATAGGTGGCTCTGATGCATAGCTGGGTATAGAGACCCACGTGGATAAGCGTCATTTTCTCACAGGCTGGTATCCAGGGACAGGCCAGCATGTGACAGGTAATTACAAGGCAGAAAGGTGACAGCAATGACAGAGGTTCTGGAAGGGTAAAAGAACCCACTTGTGGCTCCTTTTGCAAAATGTCATTTCCTCCTAATTCATTTGTTTCACAGGCCTGAATGTTTGTATTTTGCATTCAGGAACACACAGTAGCTAGCTGAGGCTTAGCTCAATAACTGTTAAATATTGTCCATAATAACTCCCTCTGAAAGAGGGCTCACTGCCAGCATTTTTCAAGCTGTTTTTAAAAATAATGAATAAGCGAGGAAAGATACTAGGAGATAGCTAGTTATGTCTGTTTCATAATTTCTGCCATGAAAATCATCTAGAAGAAGCATACCTAGTTTTCATAATCTTGGGGGGAATTAATTTAGCTTTTCATAAAGGAGTCCATCAGAACAACTCCCCGCCCCCCCACTACATACAAGCACAATAACAAACACCAGATAACGCTCTTCTTCCTATAGGCCCATATCACGTGACATAAAAATATAAAAATAAAGTCAGTTCCCAGTCTGGGTACATAGATAAGTGATGTGATCAGCAAAATAGGCCTAAATATATCCTTTTGTATAATCATGGAAATCTGTGCTATCTAGCCTGGAATTTCCCATTTTAGTTGCCACACTGGCCCCCTTGAGAGCACCCTTCTCTTTTTTGGCAGTACAGTGGGAGCACCCCATTCACGTAGATCTAATTTGGAGCAGCCCCAGAAACAGAAGAAAGCAAAGCGGAAGGCACTGTCAGCAAACAGGGGCGTTACCTTGGTTCCGTGGTAGAAGTCGTCCACGCACGTGGCATTCATGAAGGTCTGGTGGAAGTGGGTGCTGGTGTCGATGCCTCCAGGGATCACCAGCTTCCCAGTGGCGTCGATCACCTTGGCCCCTCCAGGGATCATGAGCTCACGGCCCACCTGCTGGATGATGCCGTTCTCAATGTAGACATCAGCCTCATGGGTGCAGTCATCATTCACCACCTTGCCTCCCTTGATGAGAATTCGCACGCTGGCAGAATTGGCAAGCATGATCCTATGGAAGGTGAGAGGGGGGCACGGGTCAAGGTCAAAGTCCCTTTTCTGGGTCACCCAGGTCCCACCCCTTCCCATCAGAGCCTAAACTCTGTGGGCAGAGTTCCATGAGCAGGGATGAGGAGGAAGTGTCTCCACAGCCTGAGGACATTGGTCCGACAGTCGGCTGGGGTCACTGACCTCGCAGCAGGACTTACTGGGAATCGTGACACAGTGGCATTCAGGGTGAAACTGGGCCCCAAAGAAACATCGATGTTTACCTTCCTGGAATGCAGTGTGGGTTCTAAAGCCTTTTTATATCTACTGTTTCATTTTATTCCAGAAACAACCTGAGGACTAGCATTTTATGGGTGAGAAGGCTGAAACTGCTAAGGACTTTAAGGCTACCTTAAGTAGCTGAGTCAAACCCAGATGCCATATAGCACAAATGTCCCCAGTACGCCACATGGCCCTGAAGATCTGAGAGGCTCCTGGGCATGTCTCTGTGAGCCGAATTCTCCAAGCCTCACAGCTGTTTAACTCATGTCATTCTTCAGATGGATTCTGCCTCAGTTCACCCTCCTATATTTGCCTCGAAAAGTCCACCATCTCAGCTGGCTGCACATTAATAAGCTCATCTGAGGAGCGCCCCCAAAAGCTCATATTTATTTGGTCCAGATTGGGTCCCCAGAATCCTTATTTTTAAAAGCTAGAGAACGTCCTCAAAGTCACACAACTAGTTTGCAACAGAGTAGGGATGAAAGCCAAACAGTTGTCTTCAGAGCTGTTATGGGCTGAATGTTTGTATCCTCCCAAAATCCAAATGCTAAAGCCCCATCTTCCAGTGTGGCTGTTTTTGGAGATGGGGCCTCTAAAGAAGCCTTTAAGGTTAAGTGAGGTCATAAGGGTGGGGCCCTGATCCCATCGGATTAGTGTCCTCATAAGAAGAGACAGCAGAGAGCTCTCTCTCCCTCCCCCTCCCACCCAGGCGCACCATGTGCATGCACAGAAGAAAGGCCATGTGGGGACATTGAGAGAGGAGACGGCCATCCACCAGCCAGGAAGAGAGGCCTCACCAGGAATGGACCATACTGGCACCCTGATTTGGACTTCCAGCTTTCAGAACTGTGAGAAAATAAATTTCTGTTGTTTAAGCCACCTAGACTGTGGTATTTTATGGCTGCCCAAAGCAGACTAATACAGGAAGCTATACTCTTAGCCACAAGCCATACTGCCAATATGGAAGGACAGTGACCCAACCCTGGATCTTAAGCGGCCTGGTGGAGCCACTTCAATATAAATAATGGCCCAGCCATTAGGCCTGATTCAGCATAATGCCGTCAGCTCCCTCCCAACCAACCCCTCTGGCAGAAGTCCACCTTCAGACTGGGGGCTGCTGGCATCAGAACTGCCTGCAGGCCTTCTGCCTTTTGGGGTTACCAAGGCCTCGGAACACTCCAGGCCTGGACTGGTGTTTGGATAATATAGCACGGTTGCTTAACACACTCCCCGGCCCATGGTGCTTTTGGAGAATTATCTTTTTTAAATGAACATTTGTGTGTACTACAATATTCTGTAACTTGACTCCTGTCCAGTGTCAAGCACTGGAGACAACTCTGAAAAAGACACAGTCCTTGCTCTCAGGAAGCCTCGTTTAGTGGGCGAGAGAGACGCAAATAATTATATTACCCCATGACTAAAGTATAAAGGGGACGGACACTTATTGTCTAAAGACCTTAAAACTAACTGATATTGGTTTAAACTGGGTGTCAAAATACCAGACATCAGAGCTGTGAATGAGTGAGACTAGCTGTTTGGTGATGGTCTTGTTACATCAATAACCTCCCCACACATTTCTACATTTCCAAATTGTCTACATAGACAAAATGCTTAATCCCTCCTGGTCCTGCCTCACTGTTGACAGTTGGCATTCATTACGTTTCTCACTTCCTCCAGTAACCTCATTAGCACCTTATTCCTACAGCTTTCCCTGCTAGTCGTTGCTAAATTAAACAAAGGAAAGATGTTACTGGCATCTTTTTCCACAGCGGGCCTACTGCCTGTGTGTGTCCAAGTGTGTGAACATCACAGAATGGGTAAGTGTGGGGATAATACTCTGGATCTCTTAGGAGAGTCCCCCAAAGGGAAAGGATTTGAGCGCAGTTGCTGAAATACACGCTCTTAAGCACTGTGCATGCCACTGGCTATGACTGTCTTTCCCTCTACTCTGGTTGGGGCAGCATATTCAGAGAACATTCTAGTTAGTGGTCATGGTCTAGAGAGAGAGGGTCAGTGTCAGTTTCACTAATTTATGATGCCTCAAGTCACCCACTCTATTCCAAAACATCATAATTGTAGGACAGAGCCAATATCTGGCCCACTGGCTAACTTCATGCTATGGACTGAAAGTTCATGTCCTCCTCAAATTCATATGTTGAAGCCCTAATCCCAATGTGATGATATTTGGAGAGGAGATCTTTGGGAGATATTTAGGTCATGAGGGTTCCACCTCATAAGTAGGGTTAGTGCCCTTATAAGAGACATGATCTCTCTCTCTCTCTCTCTCTCTCTCTCTCTCTGTGTCTCTCTCTCTCTCGGCCATATGAGGACACAGAGACAAGAGGCTGTCTGCAAGCAAGCAAGAAAGTTTTCACCAAGAACTGAACTGGCTGGCACTCTGACCTTGGACTTCCCAGCCTTCAGAACTGTGAGGAATGAGTTTCTGTTGTTTATGTCACCCAGTTAATGGTATTATTATAGCAGCTCAAGCTGACTAAGATAGCACATTAAACAGAAATGAACATTATAATCAAATCATTAAGTAATGACTGGGCCCTAAAATAAATGTCACCTCCTTTAAAGACTTCTGGCTGTATCACACATTCCCATTTGTTTAACCAAAACCTCTGATCATCCAGCTATTTTGTCTATGTAAATGAAAGACTTCAAACCACATGTCTGTTCTCCCAGGCAGAAATGGAAAATAGGCCAGATGGTTAAATGCCATTAGAAAAAATAAATCAGAGGTATGGAATTCTAGAGTCGCATAGATTCTTTAAGTCTACCTTGACTTACCAACAGTGACCTTGAATTGAAGGGACCCAATCTAAAAATGACAGGGTGGTGTTATGCTGCAAACACAGGGATCTTAAAATTTTTACCATTTCTTCAGGGAAGCAATGATTCTTTCCATAGCAAGATGGTGTATACAGTCAGTATGCCAAGATTTATCGAACTGTACACAGCTTAAATCCCCAATATTCCTGATTCTATGGCTTGGGTTCCTTATGTTCCTGAACCAGTGATAAAGGTTAGAGCTAAGGTGACATGCAAGCAGGGGAAACAGGGACTTCCGGGTGCAGTGGTGGGGATAACGCTATAACCTGGCAGTCTTCCACAAGAAAGCCTCCTCATGTTTAAAATAGTAACAATTATTGCTATCTGTTATCCAATAACTGTCTTGATGGATAACAGAAAATTTCCCACACCACCCACTCTCTGCCTTTTTAACTGCTGCTGAGCAGTTCCAGTGCAGAACGGCACAGGGGGCATCTTGCCGAGTGGAGGGTTAAGGTTATGGCAGCTGCTGCTTCCCGTTCATAAAATGCACACACCTCACACTCCTAGAAGGCGCTCAGTGTTAGTTCTGCCAAGGAAATGACAACCCCAACACTGTGTTTTGGAATTGCCTGCTCTGTCATCACCTTCCACAGTCCCCCTGTGCCTGCAGGGAGGTGCGAGACAAGGAGACAAGGAGAGCCTGCACAGTCTGTCCTGCACAGCTGCCTCCTGCCAGCAGCTCAGCTGGAGGATGCCAGGGGACTTTCGGGACTCAGCACAGACACATGGGGCCAGAAATGGTGCAAAGGGAACACTTCTTGCATAAAGACCTTAAAACTAACCTGAGAGGTATTGGTTCAAGACATTTATTTCCTCTTTTTAACAGGCATTGTGTGATTTTACAGACAATTGATCACTGTGATATCAAGGAACATGCAAAAAAAGAGATACATTGGGGCAGCCGGGTAGCTCAGTTGGTTAGAACACAGTGCTCATGACACCAAGGTTGCCGGTTCCATCCCCACATGGGCCACTGGATTGCACCCTCCACAACTAGATTGAAACAACTACTTGACTTGGAAATGATGGGTCCTGGAAAAACATACTGTTCCCCAATAAAAAAAAGAAATGAAAAGAAAGAAAGAAAGAAATAGAAAGAAAGAAAGAAAGAAAGAAAGAAAGAAAGAAAGAAAGAAAGAAAGAAAGAAAGAAAGAAAAAGAGCTACACAATTGCCGTGTAAAAATGAAGGACCTGTGGCATTTAAGCCAACCCTAAGGGCAGCCAGCGGTGGTAACTGGGAACACACCGAATGGCATGGCTTTTCTCTTGCTACAAGCAGATAACATTTGCTAAGGATCAAAGGGCAATATATGGCTGTGGTTTGGAAAAGAAAATGAAAACATGCAGCTATTTTCTTCTCCTGATCAGCACCTAAGGAAAAAGAAAGAACAAAGGGGGAGGGAACAATGGGAGAGCTGTCCCCACAGCGGGTGGGGGTGCTTGTACTTGCAGTGTCTTGAGGTGACTCTGAAAAGGGAGTCTCTTTGAGTTGCAAAATGAGAAAAAATTAAAGGTCCAACAGAACACAAAAGCCAAAAAGAGAAGTTTGAGGTGAGCAGGAAATAGCTAAGGGTTTAAGTTAATACATTTAATTTTTTAAAAAGTAAATTGTTTTCTTAATAGTAAAGCACTAGACAATCGTAACTAATATTAAGGCACAGTGTAATTTTATAATTAATTCTTAATTGGCTTTATCAACTTTGAATAGATTTAATGATATTTATACCATACATGTAAGGTATAAAGAATAATGACACCAACACCTATGAACTCACCATTGTCATAACCACTGAAGTCGCTGCACCCCTTTCATCCCATCCTACACCCTCCTCCTCAGAGGTAACTACTTCCGCAGTCAATTTTTATGAACAAATGACTAATAACAGTTAGGTGACAAGTAA